CGACAACAGGTTTCAGCGCTGCAGAGGCTGCTTTGGTTGGTGCTATTACATCGCCAGTGAACGCCGCGGTTGCGAGAATGATGCAGAAATACCTGTTGTCCTTCGTGCTGGCAGGCAACCCGAACACTGTGTGGCCCGATGACAAGTTATATTGGCCGCAGTACAACGATCCCAGTTTGGGGACGCAGATTGTGACCAACGAGACGTTCTCTGTCGATGAGTATGCGCTGGCCAACGCGAAGAGTGTGCACTGGGACAAAAAGTTCTGATGAAGCAGTACATCATGCGACGACTAGGTATGATAGGCAGCTGGTAATTAAGTCAAAAGCAACTTATCTGGTTAAGTTCAAGAAAAGAAAGAAATATTGTTTTTTCTTGGTGAATCTGTATGTACACTCGTTACCAAGTCACTGCACCTTCATAACGGCATTAAGTGTAGCATTACGGTCATCGTTGGTAAAATATGCATTCACACTAATTCCCAATCGGGCTCCTGCAATTTGGCCTTCCTGAAATACTGCATTGCTTCAGCGTCGGAGAATGCATTCTTGTCAATTTTCTCCCTGTACGTTTGGGTGTACTTGAGCCACTGGACCAGCAATGGGTTGTCATCAATGGCGTCAGATGTTGTTTCTGCCAAACGTAGAATATTGAACACTTCCTCTGGGGTTTCTCGGAACTTCAGCCACACATCAGCCATCGTTGTGTGGCTAGTTTTGGACGTGTAAAACATCAATCTTTGCATTTTATCGGCGTGGCTCCTCATTCCCTTGTCGCTTCGAAGCCGCTGAAGTAGATTTATGACGTCTTCTTCTGGCATTGTATTCTTGAACAACAGCAACATTTCCGTGTTCCCGAACAAAGCTCCCTTTTCGTTCCGATACTTTTCCACGTATTTCAGCCATTGACGGAACATTGGCGTCTCATCTAGCTTTGAACCGGCCTCTTTAAGACGGAGCGTATTGTAAACCATTGTTGGATACGTATTTTCCTGTAACGTTTTGCGAATCCATTCTCCAGATAGAGACTTCTCCATACTCTTCCCCATCTTGATTAATCCGGGTGTTTGTCGGAGAGCTTCGGGAAGTGTTTTCAGCTGCTCAGCACTATTTGTCCTCAGCAACAAATAGTAAATATCCAAATCCGAAAACTTCGTTTTCCCATTCTTCGCACGGTAAGCCTCTACAAGCCTGAGCCACTGGACGAAATCCGGATTATCATCCAGCTGCGCAGCACGCTTTCCGAGATTTAAGATTCCAAACAACTCGTGTGGGTGTATTTGGGACTGTATCCACGTTTTGAGCTGCGCTTCGTCAGCAGTTAAAGCTGTTGTGGTCATTTTCTGCGTCAGATCGTCCACTATAGATAGCCAAGAGGGACCAACTCTCTCTTCGTCGTTGCCTGCCGTATCCCGAACCGCTGGGTCGAATCTTAGGAATCTTTTCGAGGAAGTCGCAACCGTGCTTTTGAAAAGAGAGTCAGGGGCGTGGGGAGTAGTGATCGTCGGTCTGTAAGCTTGATCAGGGTGTGCTAGACATTGCGCCAAAAATGCAGCAGTCAGAATCATGGCGCTCTGGAAACGCATCGTTGGCCGTGTGTTTCTTACGATCAAATCACCAAAACTACGATGCACAGGAATGCAGCGCTATATCAAAACGTTATACGTGGAGTTTGCGGGTTTATTGGCAAAATGCACAATGGCTGGAGGTATAGCTGCCAACGGTATTATTAGAGCCTGGTTGTCGGTCCAAGCGGTATCGACTGTAACATAAACGTCGCATAATCGTTGATACAGTACATGAAATACATCATTATAGCCAATAGGGGAAGCCAAATCATACAAAAGCTGGTTCTATGGCGTTAAAAACGAGCAGCTCGCACCACGCGGGGTAAGAAAAGTTCCCATGCCCTTATATGCAAAACTGGACCTCGTCCACTCATTACTACCAATCGGAAACCTGTATTTAAAACACGCAGCTTATATTATGCATTACCGATTTCCAGCAATCATCACAGAATGCTTCACAGAACACAATAGCAGTGCATAACCACTGCAACTAGGAATGAGCCTGGCCAACACAGTGAAAGGAGGGGCGACATAGATATTTTGCTGGGACGGATACTTTACCAAATAAGGCAAACGAGGATGGGCGCGCGTAGTCAAAGCAAGGAGTCCCTACGTCGACCTCATTGCACTTTCCAAGACATGATGCCCTTGCAGGGTGGGTGTGTGTGTGGCGGTCACAGTGTGAAACCCCAATAAATGCGTATCCCGTATATCACGGCGAGCATGTAACCTATCTAGAACACCTATACACGTAAATAGTTTTTCAAAGCATAGATATGTCAAGTACATCTCCAAAAAAGATACTCCCAAATTATGCCGTGATATACCGTACAGACGATCCCTTCGGTAGTAATCCCTAGAAATGGAATACTCCTCAATAGAAATAAATTTGCGGTTCGTGTTGACCAATCACTTACAAACCCAAGATATTATTCCCTCTCACCCT